AATGCGTTCACTATCTATCACATCAGAAATATTTCTAAATTAAATATAATCAAATTTTTCGTTCATTAATATTTCAATTTTATTTTAAATTTATATAGATTAATATACATTTTTCTTCTATTTCAATAAGAATTACAAAAATTTATAAATAAAATAATACGTCAGATTCTGCGATTCTAAAATAGTAAATTATTTTAATATCTCGAAATTAATTTGGTAATGTTTTTATTCAACCAAAATGAAGTAATGCTTTCTCAATTAATATACTTCAATAATCTACTTAAATAATTAATCCTCTAAGTAATTTTACTTTTGATTTAGATTTATACTATTTAATAATTAATTAACTTAATATATCCTCGGTCTTTAACCTTTAATATTTATACATTTTTTAATATATTATGGATCAACAATTTATATCCGTGAATTAAAAAGAAAGGAAAAATACTTATATTTAGTCATTCTCTGTACTATAATAACATGATAATAACGTCAAACTTATTGAATTTAAAAGCGAGTACATTAAAAAACGATCGTTTATCAAACTTTTGGCTTGTATGTTTTATTTTTTATTAGTGATAATGGAGTAAACGATTATAGCCCTCGGTATACGCATTTAACGATATTGTAAATTAATTGTTTTTTTTGTATTACGTATGATATGTTAGACGATATTTACTATTAGATAATTTCTGCATACTTTTAAATATTTGGTAAACAAGCTTCCTTACATTGTGAAGTAGTATGAAGTAATAGATTTGTAAAAATTATTTTTATAAAGAAATTACACGGAATTAATTGCTTATTTATCGTAAAAAAAATATATAGAAAAATTAAAAAAGACATTCTTCTACATTACAAAGCATAATTGAAAATTAAAAATTTGAATAGAAAGCGACAATATAATAATAATGTTACTAATGATAATAAAAAACAAATTACCATTCGTTAATAAGAAGTTATTTGATATATATGATATATATATATATATATATATATATATATATATATATATATATATATATCATATATATCAAATAATGAACGTCCAAAGATAGAGAAACAAGTTTTTCAAATTTTCGGCTTCATTGAATGACAAATAAATATTGAACAAATAATAGCTTAGAGAATTGATTTCGTTTCTTGATATAATTAAATAATTAAGTTAATTATAATTATTAATAATTATTGGTTTACTTTATTTATAAAATAAAGTTTTTATTTATTTAAATAAAAATTTCATTTCTTATTGAAAATTAAGATTAAGTAAATAGATATATTTTGTCTAAAAAAATTTATATAAATACTAAAAGTGAAGAAAAAATTAAAATTTGATGTGCAAATTAGTATTATTGTCCACATATGCATTCGCGTTAACAATTCATAAATTGTTATTGTTAAAATTTTCATTTAACGTACAGATATCTATTTTGGAAAAGTAAGATCGCGAAAGTTCAGTTTTATATTAACTATGTAATAAATTTTCAATATTTAGTTCTATATTAACACCAAATATCTTTATGTTTTAAAATAATTATAACTGTTATTTTATAAGTTTAACTAAAATTGAAGTAACAATTACAATTGATATTATATAACATATAGTTATATTTATAATTGCTCTAATTACAGTGAATATTACAATAAACTATCATAAAAAATATATCTTTGCTTAAACGTTGCTTTCCATTGTTGAAAACCTTATCGTTACAAATCAAACATTTAAAAGTATGAAATATTATTTCCTAATTAATATCTATTAATAACATTTGAATAGAACATTATTATTTGTATTTTTAATTTTTCATTATGTAATCAATGTTAATATACATAGAGATACAGCAAGCTTCATTGTACCAATTAAATTTATAATAACATATTTAATTTTTTAACTATGAAAAATTAATACTTTTATTCTTAAATCCATATACATAGAAAAAATTTCCATTACTGATCCTAAAAATAAAATAAATCTTTAGTTTTTTTAGAAATACACAAAAATTAAATATGATAAAATGTTTAAGACCACCACGGTCATCTTGAACTCAAACAAGATTTAAATATAATGATTATTGCTATTCTTGTAATATCTAAAATTTTACAATCATTCTTCATTCTTAATGGCAGTATTACTACTTGAAACTTTTTATTTCACAATCTTTACGGTATTATTTTTCTTGTTCTCATTTACAAAATACCAATAATTAAAGCTTACAGTAAAATGTTTTAATATAATTTATTTTTATTATTATTGTTACTGTATTATTGTTGTTATTATTATATTTTATGAGGTGTAAATATTTAATTTTTTATCATCAAAGGATAATTGGTCTAAAATATGAATTTAATCGGACTTAAAAGAATAAATTGTAAGGGAATGGAAAATATTCTTTAAGGTATTGTTTTGAAAAAAAGGTAGAGAATTGTATTATAAAATGTGAAGCATGAAAACAGAAAAGTTATAAAATGAATATATATATATATATATATATTACAAGCTAATACAACATAAATATTGATTTCGATTAATTAAAAACGTAAATTTTAAAAACATACAATAAATGATTTAAAAATATTGTAAATACATTAGTTTACAATATTTACAGCAGTTTTTCCGTTATAAGTTATAAAGATGAGTGTCGTAACAATAAAATACAATAAAATTATATGGGAAATAATATTTGCTTATTAATTATAAAATTAAAAAAATTTTATATTTGTATTTGTTTTGTTAGTTACATAATCTAAATAGCATTTTCCTATAATTTTGACTAATTGAAATAGATTATACAAGTTTCGGTGACCATCTTAAACACTACTGTATAAATTTTTCTCAAAATTTTTCCTAACTGTTTATAAAAAAGGACTAAAATCACGGTTACGCTATCGAACCAACAAATATAAATTATAGTCACTGCTCAAGAGTACAATTTATTAAAGAAGCATAATCTACTACAAATCCAATAGTAAGGTGGTTCCATATTCCATTCATTCATTATGCTACACAAGGGCTGTTATCCCAACCATAAAGGCTAAATAACAAACTTGATATAATGCTCACATAACCAACGAACGAACAAGCACATCCATGTACATAAAATAGAGCATCGGTAAATTTTCAAAGTACATACACACACAAGCATAATCTATCTTTATAAGTGTACGGAAGAAGAGAGCGCTTGAAATATTTTTCAAGACCACATCAATCGCGTGCGATTAAGCACTGTGCGCATTTCATCGACTCTTTGCTGTACTCGCTTGTAATAAATATTTCGATGGAGCGCACGAGGTAACTTTGAGTTCATAGCCACAACATAGCTGCTACCCTCCCACCCACCCACCCCCCTAAACCGCCACACTCTAACACGCGCACACGCTTCTTCCTGTTCGACGGCTCCGTACAAAAGTCGCATTTTGCTGAGCTTCGAAAATAGAGACTTTCGTAACGGCTGCAACAGCAGCTATCGGAGAACATTAATACATACTCTTTTGGTAATTAAGAGTAAGCGAAAGAAAGGGAGTAAGAAGGCGCGTGCACGAAGAAAAAAAACTCGAAAAGTTTGATCCAACTCCCATAACGGCACCGAACTTTCACCCGAGATCCCATCTCTTTCTTTTACACTTACGAACGAACGATTCGAAATCCATTGGATTCGAAAACTTTGTTTCACACGGGAATTCGTGCAACATGCTGCATCCCGAGTATTTTTCGACGACTCGCTACTGTCAGTTTGCTTACCTAAGCCATTTGTGGATTTTTACTCTTACTGCTTTCTCTCCGTTCCTCAAACGAATGAGCCCCTTTAGGGGAGAGGGAGGAGAGATGGTCGCATCAGCAAGTGTCTGGATGCTTTAAACAGCTCTGTTGCCGTTGGGGTTCTCTTTATTGATTTCATTCAGAGTCTTGAGTGCCACTTTATCCGACACTCAATGGAAAATTATTATTGCGTTCACCAGGCCGAAATATACGGCAGCAAGAGCTCGAATTTTTTCTACAACACAACAGAAAGCGGCTGCTTAACCTTGTCTTTTGTTTCAGTATGCACGAGAGACTGAACAGAGATTAATGATCTTCCCACAAACAACTGCACGAAATTCATACAACTCCAAATGATTATAAGCATATGTAAATATTTTTGTTTTACTTTTTCTTGTTGCGAGTATTCATTTAAATATTTATTTAGAAATTCGATATAATTTTGATCATATTTCCGTTTTATTCATTTAATGAATCAATAATACAGTAAAGAAATTATTACAAATATGAACAAAATTGCAAATTGTAAAAATTATGCCTTTACACTACATATTTTCAAAGCAATTATAACGTTTGTATTGAATAAACAGTTAGTTGATTTAGATATTTTAAAAGTCTTTTTTATATAAACTTCTTCGAATGTTTGAGCTAGAACATTATTAAACAATTTATTGAACAGATTTTACTGATCTTAAGTACATATTAATGAATGAATTTAAAAACTCAATAAAACAACTCTCTTCATAGGAGTATAGTTAAATTTTAATATCCAAGAGAGTAAAGAGAGTTGCAAAATACAATGTAATCTTGAAAGTACATAGCATTATTGTATGTTAACAATGATATTTCGCAGGTAACACTACAAAAAAAGTAATTCCATCCCAATGTTACGAATTCCATAATCATTAAATACATATTTAATATATGGCATTGGCAGGCTAATATTTATTAATTTAAATTTCTTATGTCTAGCAAGTACGTCACTAAGTTAATAACTAAATATATATCTCGTATAAAGACTAATATAATACCACTGATAATGAATTCCATATTTAGGCACACATTTTATATCCTTACTCACCTTAATTTATGATCCATACATTTGCATTCAATTTTAATTGATATTAGATTTCATGAACTAAGTAGACCCCTGTAGCATTATTATAAGGTAAATTTAGACAAGTAATTAAACATACAGATTATTACCATTTTTAATTTATTTGCAATAAATTAATAGACTTACAGTTCAGTAAGCGTAAAAAGACGGAAGACAGCAAATGTTCAGCAAAAGCAAAATCTTTTCTTCTTAGTTGGAGCTTCAAGTTCGTGACACCTCAAGAGCTTTTGATGGGGAAGAATCGATCTATCCACGGTCGTGTCTATTCTCCTCATCACACGATCGAGCAAAATGTCAACGGCGCGTTCTACATTCTGCCCGGTAGATGCACTGGTCTCCAAATACACCAAACTAATCAATCAGTACTTAGAATTCATAATATATATATATATATATATATATATATATATATATATATATAATTAAAAATATAATATTTAATTATCATTTTAACCAAGGCGTCAACAGAATATTTAGGAAAAAAAGCAAAATTATTGTAGTGAAAATTTTTAATGGTTTCAGAAAAATCTGGTTAAAGTAAATTTTATTTATTTCTATAAAAAAATAATTAATTTTTATCATTTTAAAAGAATATTATTCAAACTATCAAATTCTTCAATTAAATGACCTATCATTAAACTATATTATTAGAACATTATTAACATATAAAAAAATATTAAATATAAAATATTTTACTTTTATAAAACAAATATAAATAACTCAATTAATTATTGATATATTAAATTAAAATTGAAGTAACATTGTAAATCTCTTTGTAAAATATTATTTTATTTCACTAATGAATGCTAATTTGTAATCAATTTGTAGAAAATTAGTAAAGTATTGAGTAAGATTAGATATAAATTGTTCATTATTTTTTACATAAAAAAATTAATTTTAAAAAGCAATTGAATTCCCTTGGAAATATGTATACAAGATTTTAAATAATTGGAGTAAAATTAGGAATACTTTAATAAAACCTAAATATACGTATACAAATACTACAATTTATATTATTTATATTAATATCGTTTAATATTAAATGTTTATTTACTATAATTTTTTTGAAAATACAAATAATTTGTAAATTATTTTTTGTACGAATTATAATAATCTGTTATTCATGCTGATTTAATAGATATATCGAGTATTAATATTTGCTTAATAAAATATACAATATTCATAAATAATTTAATTGAATTAAATATAAACTAAGTATTTAAATTTAATTTAAAAAATATAAGAAAAAATGTGGTCTCTCATTTTATAGAATTATAGAATTTTAATTTAATCATTTAAAATGTATTTATTAATGAAGAAATTCTATTTGTTTACAATAATTGAGTTCAACATTAAATGAATTTAATTTTAAAATGATTAAAATTCAACCCTTAATATAAGCCGCGATTGCAATAGTGGTTTTAATATAAAATAAAATAAAAATCTTAATTTGAATAGATTAATAAGATAAAAATTTAATTTAATTTGCAACCAATGTGGCTAATTTCGCTCGAATCGCACTTTCGCGTACATATATAAGTGAAAAAGGTATTGTAATTAGCCCACTGATAAAACTATAGTAAAATTATTTTTAAAATGTTTGACGAATATTGCAGTAGTCTCTATTCCATTAAAACGTAGGAATAAAATTATAGGTTTAGCGATTTAACAATAATAATAATAAAATAAAACCAAGGATAAATTAATTGACAGGAGAAAATAATATTTACAAACCGAAATCAATCATATTAATTAATAAAATAAAAAGTTGAAATTTTTAAATTGTACGGTTAAATATATTATATGAATAATTTCCAGCCCGGAAAACTTATCTTAAAGTAAAAGACCACAATTCAAAAAGATAAAATGGAAGTTATTTAGCAATACAGATAATAAACGGTATAATTGCGTATTATTTCATAGAATACAAAATTATATACGACAATAATTTTTAAACTTTTTCTAATTAAATAACATAAATATATATATATATATATATACACACATATATCTAGAATTAACCGTAACTCATTATAAAATGTTAAATACATATTACGTATATTTAAGTAGAAACATTCATGTCTTTAAAAATAAAGCATTTAAGTAGAGCATAAAACCCTCCCTACCTCTTGCACTTCAAAATGTTCTAAAATAAAATAATTCCACTTTTACCCTTAAGAGTCCACGTAATTTCGTTCTCTATACATACTTGTACTTTTCCGCCAACTCTCGAGCCTTCTGCTCGCTAATTATGCGTCTGTCCTCGAGATCCGATTTGTTACCGCAAAGAATTATGTCGGGCTCCTCGCAATAGGCATGCATCTAGACAAGAGTTTCAGCAGAAAACAAAATTAAAGTTTAGCTTATTTGCCTCTCGCATAATGAAAATGCTCGAATGTTGAAAAATTATGTAAAATTAGAATGAGCCTTTTTGACTGAAGCATTTTAACGTTTCTGGGTATATAATTAGCGTTTTATCATGCGATCGCTTGTTACAAACTAGACCTATCCAACCTTTACTAAATCATTGATATAAGTAAACAATAGCAATCACAGTTTTTAAATAAGTATGATCAGAACTTTTACTATTTCAATTGATATAAATCATTAAATAATTGATATTTGTTTTGTTTTGTTTTGTTTTTTCTTTTTTTTTTGTTCATTATGTTTATAAGGAATATTTTACGTTTATAAAAAATACAGTATTATTTTAGTGGAAATATTTTGCTTATACTGTTTAATTTATTCAAAATAAAATAAATTAAGATCAATACCCTAAGTTCATCCAACCAATTTCTTATTGCAAGAAAGGACTGTTCATTTGTCAAGTCGAATAGCAGAAAAAAGCCCATCGATTCTCGGTAAAATGCTGTGGTTAAACTTCGGAACCTAAATAATCAATTAAAATTGACTATTAATATATTATAGAGTAATTTAAGACCTACAATTAACTTTTTAATAATGCGCAAATCGTTCGGTTGAATTTTTCTTCTGCTTCGATCAAGCAGAAAAAGTCATTCATATGTATTAATAAGTTTCATTAATTTATTTGATTAGGTATTCAAGATAAATCACACTGTCGAATAACTAAATAAAAGAATTTATGCCTCGCCTTTCTTGCCCAGCTGTATCCCAAAGTTGTAAATGCACTCTTTGACTCTGTCCATTGGCTGACTCATATACCTGCATAAAAACAATAAAACATATTACATTAAAGCGTCACTGCGAATAAGACAGAGAAAAGAACGATGAAAAATAAGATTTTTAATAAACCAGATAGACTCGATGTGCGAATTCGAATTCGAAAGTTATAGGCATCGATAAAAATGCATTATTAAATCAATGTCAAGCAATGTTATTTAAGATTTGAAAAATGCATTCGTCTCACAATTCGCTTTTCCTTAAAGTCAATGCCAACCGTAGAATGAAAACGAGGATTAAACGTGCCATCGGTATACTGATACAGGAAGCTTGTTTTTCCAACACCTGAATTGCCGAGTGCGAGGAACTTTAGCAAATAATCGTAATCCATGTTTGAGCTGCTGTTTGGAGGGGATACAAAGAGAACTGAAGTTTTTTCTCCTCTCTCGACGGAGCAAATTGAAATCTACACGCTGCAAAAACGCACTAGCGAGCGAATAAATACGCTCACATATATTTCTAATGAACAAATCTTTGCAGTAGCAATATGCAATATGCGTACCGCCGAATTCGCAAAGTGTGCGAGGCTACCTGTTAGCCCTTGGCACTTCCTTATAATTCGCGTACGTGCTTCGTTCTTTTTTAATCCTTTTTAAATCATGCCCCGTCTAAAGTTGCAAACCTACGTATCGCCGGGCGCACTCACTCTCCTTTCGACCGCTCGCTATTTTAATAACGAAATTAGTAGCTCCCCAGCTACGAAACGACAATTGAGCTTTATTCGTAGCAACTCGTTTTGAAAAAAGAACGCACGTTAATGCACAGCTCTGACCTTACGAACTACTAGTAAAGTCTGGCACTAGTGATAATGCCGTGACTTCTCACGAATTTGTACTTTGCGCGCCATCTGCTTGATAAATACACAATGCACAGGTGATTGGAAATTTAGGTCATTATTGATAAGGCTCAGAGGTTTAACGAGCCGAAGACCTCTCCAGGATAACCCATACGAACTGCGAGAAGCGGCTTAACGTACAACGAACTTGCAACACGATACCGGCATTACTAATTGAACTGTCTATAACCGATATAATCGAAATAACGCATGACGCCAACATCATTTGATAATGTAAAAATAATGAAAATATAAAGAAAAATATTAGCTAGCGCAGGGTAATAATAACTTTTAATGAATATTTGTAAGAGTGCGACATTCGGATCTATGCGCCACGATACTTAGATATGATGAAGCCTTAACAAATAAATGCGTTGGATCTATCTCATCATCGTTGTGAGCTTAATAAAGTGCATCTTCGCCCTAATTTTTTATATTATTTAAATTAATGGGCGAATATATTGAATATATAAAAAAAATAAAGATGGATAAATTTCATGTAACTAGGAAAACACGCGATTAAATTAAATATAATTGAACGGCATTTATCAGCTGTTATTTTTCTCATTTAAATTGCAATGGAAAACCTATGGCCGCATATTAATATAAACTATATCTAAATATATTTATAGAAAAGTCTCGTCATATTAAGAATATAAATCGTATTTATTATTATATTGGTACAATATTATCGGATTTTAATAAATGATTGAAATGTAAAAAAAAAATTATTAATCACTAAACGCAGACATAATATATAAGCGGTAATTTATATTAACGAAAAATTAAACATTAGAAAAAAAATATAAGCCAACGAAAATTCGATTATTTGAACAAGGTAATACATTACAAAAGAAATTTCAACATACGTATCAAAGTAATGAATTGTTGAAAAATATATCAAAGGGTGAAAATTAAAAATTGCATTATGATTCTTACAATCAGTGTATAGCTATTAGCCATATATTTTATAATACTTAAAAATACAAAAGTTTTAACAAAAATTATTTATTTGTAGACATTTTAAACGGTTTATACATTATTATAAAAATATATTTAAGTGAATAGCCTCTATTAGTTGATAAATGTTATACTATATAGAGTTTTATAAAAAATAGTTCACTTAATGCTATTATTATTTTTACTTGCCATGCAGCTAATTGCACATATTTATATAAATATCATTTTCATATATTTTAACATTTCAAATTTATTTTCAGTCATAAAATACATCGTCACCTATTTTTAAAACATTATTTTCTTGGCTTTTGCTAACTAAATAAATACCAAATTTAAGCTTTCCATGAAATTTTTCACCTAATGTACGCAAAGGTTCTATAGTTTTGATTCCAGTTGTTTGATCAATGCATACCATTTGACATCTGGTACATACACCTTCAACCTAAAATCATCATATATAATCTATCGATAGAATGAAAAATTATTCAAAATTATAAATACTTTATTAAACATTGTATTTGGAAATTATTAAAAATTATCTTTAAAAGTATTGTCTGCGATTGTATACTAAAATTAATAATTACGATATTGTTATTATTATTAATTTGGCAGTTAAAAATAATCCAATTATCTATTACGTATAACTTAATAAAAAATTCATTCCAATTATATTAATAATTCTATTCATTTATAATTAATAAATTCTTATAAAAAATTTAACATATTATGATTTTATTTCACTGACATGCATTTAAGAGCGTAAGAGATGTAACTAAGTGAAAAAATCAATTTTCTTATATTAAAATTTAAATACATTTTTAATTTTGTCTGATTTTAGAAATTTTTGCCAAACCATATTATAATATAGCTATAATAACTATCGTTATGAATAATAGATAATTATGTTTTTTTTATGAATATTAACTTAAAAGAAAATGTATGAAATGTATTTAATCTTATATTAGTATATTTTCATAGTATATTCATATTAATAAATAGTTGAAATGTACAAAAAAAAAAAAAAGAAAATCATTCACTAAATGCAGAAAAAGTGTGAAAAAGTAATACAATTGTTAATTTATTATTAAATATTAGGTTTATTTATTATGAAATCAATTAATATTTTTAAAATTGATATTTAAAATAATATTTTTTCTCTATTCAAATACCACATTTATTATTCGTTATTTTTATTTATCTTATAATTATGTATTTATTTCTTAATAAATACCTCAAAATGACAATTTCCTATCTGAATTACTTTCCATTTAATTTCTTCAAAAGGTATATGCCCATTAATCAGGAAATTACCACGAAACCTCTGTAAAATTGTATTTTTATCACATTCTGAGTCTTCTGAAATTTGATCGGTAAGCCATAATACACTCGCTGTATTTATCAAAAGGTACTGGCTTTGACTGACAAAAGATAATTTTGGTTTACTGGTTTCTGTAAAGATTTAATTAAATATAGCTAATAAGAACACTCTTATTTTTATAATTTTATAGTTCTATTACGTTTTGATTCGGCTAATTCACTTTGTCTAACAAGTTTGATATTAGGCCTTCTTAAAGCTAGGCTTAACCATTCTGAAATTTCTGCACCACAATATTTGCCTTCTATCTTGTGTCCGCATATCTTCCCTCTACAAATTCTATCGTTATTAACTGTTTCTGATAAAACATTTAATGGAATTCCAATAGATGGCATGCCTATAATATATTTATAATGATTAATTTAATTACATTAACAACTATGTATTAATGTTAAACATTAATTACCAGGAAAATATAATTCTAGTTTATTATTTAGGAAATTAAAATCTGGTTTTATTAAGCATAGTTTTGGCTCTTGTTTTTGAGTTAAACACAGTCCCGAAGATGTCATGATCATCCATTCTCGATCATACTGCAATCCTTTTGAAGTTAATATCCATGAGTTTTGAACTTCGTATCCTCCGCAAGATTTAATTGGATAAACAAATATTTTAGATAGTTTACAATACTTTTTAGTATTATAACTTTTAAATAAATTACTGCTTGTAATAACAGAACATAACTGAGGAAACCAATTTTCTCCGGCTACTACATTTTCACGTTCATTTTTTGTAAATTCATTAGAAACTCCATTTATATCAACATTATTATCATAATTCATTTTAGAATATAGATTTAATTTAAAATTTGATAACCAAGCAGGATATTTTATAACTTCATGTCCATTTACAAAACACTTTTTTAACATGTGCAATATTACTTTAGCATCTTTTATTGTTGACATGTATCCAAAAGATACTCTTATTGCTCCTGTTGGCTTTCCATTGATTAAATCCGTTGTACCACCGCAAGTATATCCAGTATCATAATTTTTCAATATCTCCTTATCCGAAAGTTTTAAATGGCGCTGACAAGCTCCGGGATTACAAAAGCATCCTGTACGTAAATGAATTTTAAACAATGCGGCCATATTAAGAACTTCCATGTAACCTACGTATTCTCCATTTGATCTTAATACGTTAAAAGAAATAATTCCACCTTGTAAATTTTTATCTTCGTAATCTGAGTCGGCATAGATTTTAGTAACGGGAGCACCATTCTCGTGATGCAAAGTTAGCAATAAATGATAAAAATATCTAGCTAATGCAAACACGTGTGAAGATATGAGATCCATAGAAATATCTGATAAAATTTGTAATCCATGCTGGAGTGATATTATTGTTAGAAAAGAAATAGTTCCATCTTCGAATCTGTAAAATATTTTGCAATGAATGGTAGAAATCTAAACTTTTCGAAATCAACAGCAATTTAAATATAGGTATTTATTAATCTCTACCTTTCGTGCAAAGATTCTTTTTTCACGTGGTGCATTTTTGAGCTTAAAATTACATTCACTGTTCCACCTCCGTAATAAACTTTTTTTAAAATTTGTGCACTTTTATTTCTTACTAAAAGAGCCCCAATGCCAGTAGGATAACCAAATAATTTATAAAATGAGAGACATAAAAAATCTGGCTTAACAATAGAAAGATTTAGATCATTTGTTGCTGCATATGAAGCAATATCAAGATAAGTATACCAATTAGATTTATTTCCCACATACGAATTGAGAAGCCCATGTTTTACATTTTCAATCCAATTCAAAGGATACTTAAATCCTGAAAAATTACATTGCGCTGGGTATATAAATAACGAGTTATCTTCATACATGCTGATGGAATGATTTTTATCGGTATTCTGTTGTAAAACTTTAAAAGCACTATTATGATCCAGACAAATTACTTTAGCGCCTCTTTCGGATATTATATCACGCATGCCAAGAACGGATGTATGATTATCCTGAAGGTAAACAAAATTTCCAAATTCTTTAATTGATTCATCTTTTTTGTATGTAAAAGTAAAAGTCTCCGCTACAAGTTTTAACGAAGCAGTAGCACCAGACGTAAAAATAATACTATATTCATCCTGTGTCGTGTGGAAATGATCTAAAATTCTATTAAAAATCCTCATACATATAATACAAAGTCAGTTAACTTATATTACTATTTTTTAATATCTTACCTGCATCGTATATTATCGATTAACTCATCGGTAAGATTACCATTTACTCCGTGAGAATGAGGATTCGTATACAATGATAACACTAAGTCATCAAATGATTTTTTAATTTGATTATCAGAATATAAAGTGGCACCTGCATGATCCACGTAACATTCACCTGTAAAAAAATAATGAAAAATCACTCATAATCTAAGGATAAAATATTAACAACTAATTCATTTCACGCCAAATAGTTATTCATTAAATTCTACAAATTTTTCATTTTATCTTTCATAATAAAAAATACAAGAAATTGATAATCGGAAAAAAGAACATAGGAAAAAAATTTAATCTAAATTGCAATCCCATAGATGAATATTGCATTAAACTTAAAAATTATGTATTAGCTAATGGAATAAGCAAATTTTATACCACAAACATAATTCGTTTTAATAAATAATAATAAATTAATATTATAATACAATCGCTATTTAAAAAATATAATTGCCTTCGAAGCATATAATGTTAAAATAATTGGCAACATTATGACTTATCACTACAATTAATAAACCAAGTGCATTAACTTCATTGTAAATAAATTTTGCCAAATGCTTGCACTCGTAAAATTTACCTTTGATTCGAGAGAATTCTCCTTCCAAAAAGTGTGATATTTTCTCATCGTAAACTGGAGAATAAAGTGCTTCGTCCATGCCAACAGAAGGTTGATCGTGATATGCTGCATAACTCCATCGTTAAATAACGTAAGAAAACTTGTTATTTAACTTGCGACAAACGGACAGTATTTCCTTGTCAGTACTCCAGCATGGTTTTGTAACCTTTCGCCTGCACTCGCTTTATCGGCTTACTCATACTTCAAATGCAAACACAACGAGTTTGTATTAAAATTAATTCGAAACAATGTATTTACCTTGATATGGATATGCGCGGCATTATAATTCGTGCACGTAAAATATAATGAGTATATTTCAAAATAAAAATTTAGCAACGAGCGGACACAATTTTGTTAAATGCTTGCCTTCAATATTAAATTGCGGTTTGTTATCACGTATATAATAGATCGGCTAGTTACGTCGCGATAATTAATATACTTTGTCGACCTTTACGAATCCGCTGCCAATAGTAATAATGCCTACTCGAAGGTGGCGCTATTTATAAATTTAATAGCTAGTAAGCAATTATGAATCATTAGTAATGTAACGCAAAGTACGTATTGTTTATTATATTAAAAAATTTGTAAATATATTGTGAATGAAATTGCATTGAAATTTAAGTATAAAAGTATACAACGAATGTCTGTACTTTATATACATGAATTTACTAGATATTTAAAAAATTCTTTAAAATCTTCGGTCTTGATAATCAGAAAATAAAATAATATTGATAATATATTTTAAATGATTAAGAATAAATTGTCAGAGGGAGATTTAAAAAAATAAACCAGATAATGCACATTTAGGAATGACGTACACGTGGGACGAGGTGGCCGAGTGGTTAAGGCGTTGGACTGCTAATCCAATGTGCTCTGCACGCGTGGGTTCGAATCCCATCCTCGTCGACCTTTTTTCTTTTTGTTTATCATAAAATACAAACGCAACGTCATTATTTTCAATTCTTTAAAATAATAAACTAACTCTCACTCTTATCTCACTGTTCCTAAGCCAATGATTATTTGTTAAAAGTAGTTACTCGTTGTCGTCCTAACTACCATCGCCGCCGCCGCCGTCACCGCAAAGAAGAATATAATAAAATATAACATGGTGGTGGTGTTGGTGGGTGGGCCAAGCGATGAATTTTTAACGGCAAACTTCCTTAGATTACCAACAACAACGCCATAAAATAATATAAACATTACTGAAATCCTAATTATTGATCTTAATCACAAAATCCCCATTAATTATTATGACATCTCGCTTATTTAGAATATTAATTTATAATATTGTATGCAATTACGATTATACTACAAATAATGTTGATAATAAATATTGCTTGAAATATGAAAATATTGTGATAGTGATAAGAACTCTACAATAATGTTTTTCAGTAATCAGAAAAATAAAAACGAAACGGTAAAAAATGGTGATAATAATAGTCGATACATTATTATTATTGTTGTATATTATCAGAATAATTTATTAGAGTGAAGGAGATAAAAAAAATGGTATCTAAAACCCAAAAGCGAAGGCCCCGGGGGGATTCGAACCCCCGATCTCCTGTTTACTAGACAGGCGCTTTAACCAACTAAGCCACGGCGCCTACGACGATTGTGCATTGAATTATATGTGGATTTATATCACCGTTTAAATTATTATTTAAGAATAATTTGATGAAAATATTGAGTGTGTAATTGAAATTCCATCACATACAAAATAACGATAATGAACCTATGCCTATTTATGTACAGGATTAATAAATTAATGAGCTAATTACAAGTTTTATTGTTCATATAAAATTTTAAAATATAAATATGTACGCGATAGAGAATTACAAACAAATCGATGTTAAAAATGAATTATCGTTCGAGTTAGATGTAAAATTGCATTAAAAATTGCATTCGTAATAAACGTAAGCTTAATAACTGTGCCAATAATATACCATAAATCGGAATAATGGGTATCGAAAATTTTAAACAAATAAATTTCATAAGTATAGTGAAAAAAGCACTATGAAAGAATTCAAAGTACCGGTAGTTTTAATAATTATGAAACGAATAAAATAATTAATATCAATGAAGTATGTAGCAGTGCTTGAAATATTTTACAAAAAAGAAAAAATTCAGATTTAATCTATTTAAATCTTTCAATTTATTTTAAATAATCAGATTGAAGAAATATTCAAAGAATGTTCGGATACTTTGATATGCCCATAATATTATTAGTATAACATATAAACTAAAATAAGCTAGTAAGTGATACTGTTTAACAAATTGTTTCGCGAAAAAATTCCTTACGATGAATTTATAAATGATTAAGCCATTATTACATCTTTTTATTTTATAAACAATTAAAAATGAACTTTTTAAAGTTTCATATCGCAACACCAAATTTAATAGCACTAAAGCATTGTACTATGTAAACTTCTTTTGTTTTATTACATCTCTATAACATTGTGCTAACTTTTTACGCACAATATACTCCTATACAATTTATTTTACAAAATTGAGAATAAAAATAAATGATAATAATGTTTTATAGCCCTTATCATATAAATTATTTAAAACATTTACAAAGTATCTATTGTAGAACACCATTTTCCCATAATACTTTTACTTATACATAATACAGTTATTCATCATAATATAGTCTTCTTCGTATTTGAATATAAATAGTCTACATAATGAGATAGGCAACTTACAAATATTGTATAAAAATAACGATCGCTATCCCCTTCTGACTCTTACTGAACAAAGAATTCCAAGAAATTCAATTAATTTACAAAGCGCTATCAATATAACTTCGTATATAATATCTACAGAAAGTTTTCTATAATATTTTAATACATCTTAGCTTATGCATATTAATTAATTAAAATAAAAATTATACACGCATTATTTTCAAGAATCTCAAGTCTATTAATTAAATAATCATAGCTTAATTTATACACTGATTCCATTGATATTTTATATAAAACTATAAAAAATACTTCTTACATTAATAGGCAATTTTTTTATTTTTATTTTCAAAAGTGAATGACTAATTGTTTCTTTTACTTTATTAGATCATAATCGTTTTCAGTTTTGTGAAGTAAAAAATAGAGAAGCTTAAAATAAACTATGTTATAAATGTTGGCCGCTCATTATGTTAAAATTATTTCTTTGTTTAAGAAACATGTTGAATAAACTATTTAATAATACAAATATATATATATTATTGTAGACAATATGAGTATATTAATCTGGCTTATTGTTCTTATAATCAATGTAAACAAAACAAAAAAATATTTAAACAAACAACTAAATTAATAAAACGAAACAAGTATCGTGTAATAGATATACATTTGTACAAAAAAATTTATATTATTTTGATGTTTCTTTTAGAACAAAGTATTTGTCCACTAAAATTTGTCAAAATATTGTATCGATAAAATTACAATAAAACACCAAACAACCGTGGCATTTCAAATCATATTATTTTAACCAAATGAAATATCGCCACTTGTTTAGATAAAGCCATTTGCATACACTTTTGTTTAATAGTTGAAAAATAAACATTTTATTAATGCTTTTTATAGTGCATAAAAAATATTAGAGAACGTTATGCGTTACCAGCTTCTTATATTAAACTTTTGATAAAATATTTAATACAAAAAAATTTGTAAAAAATTTTCTTCATTTAATAAATGCATATATAACAGAATAACTGTATTTATTATAAGAAATTCTATTATTATAGAAAATTAACGATAATTCTTGCCTCTCTTCCGCAATTGCACGGTTATTTCTTAATATAAATTACTTAAAAATCGAACTAACTATTGTATAAAATACAGAAAAAATGTTTGATCGAAATTAAGCATTTCCATATCGACCAGTTCGAACTGGTCACTATTTGTCATAATAAAATCTTATATTCTTCCTCGTCTCTTTTCTCATACTTACAAATTAAATTGACCCTGATATACTTTTGAAAATACATAATAAATACAATAGAATATAATAACAAGTATATATAATAAGTAAATAAAATAAATTAATCATGATAAGTTATCAAAATTACTATTGATGTCTGTAATATCGATAATCCGTAATGTTTCACAAAAGTACGTACGGACCTTGGATTTGGAGTTATATTAATCGCGAAATGATTACTTGCTAATAAATACTATCGTACGATACATACTTAAAATTATTTTCTTGTAATGCGGATGGATGCTGATCTCCTATCCTCGAAAAGAGTACGTCGATTCATACTAACATGGAAATACACTGCGCCATAATATAAACTACTATATATTTATTTTTATAAGCATATGCAACGCAGACAAGCCGCAAGGACTAATTCGGCTTGGCTTTACCTTTCTAACATAGTGGTAAGTCAGGTTTGTGTATTTTTCAGACTGCTGCCTTCTAAACTGCTTTCATTTGTGGCCATGAGCAATGAAAATGCCTATCAGTAGTATTAGTTGTATAGATGCTTAATGAATAAGTAGTTTTTAATCATTACGTCTTTATTTATATTTAATTATTCAACATTCTAAGAGAAAGACAACATCAAACATTATTTTAGTTTATGCTCTTCGATTGCTCATCCACAACATTTTGAACTCGGTGCATAAAAGCAATCTTTAAAGAATATACATCTATTTAATTATAAACATTATAAAAGATTTTTTATACCTTCTTTAGGTTTATATTTTGTATATTAAATATACAATTATAAAAGATAATACCATGTTACATATTATTTTATTAAATTATAAAATAATCCATTACATTATAATAGCCAATTAATATATTTTGTATGAGTTAATGCAAAGAAACGTGTCCATTAGATAAAAAAAGTTCAATTGTTAATTGAGAAATTCTTTATTTTTTCGAAAAAAATTTTATGAAATTGCAAAATATTAATTACATCATATTAAAAATTTTTAATTAGAAAATGAAAAGATTTTAAATATTTTTATTGACAAACCATAAATTATCGCAATTTAACTATACTAAATAGAACTTTTTTACAATATTTGTGTGAATTTTACTTATACATATATATATATATATATATATATATATATATATTTCAATTTTAATGCCAAGTGATGCATGAACATTTAATATATTGAATTTTCTACAAACTTATTTTATTAGACATATCGATTCATTAAAACTATAAAGAATTTAATTAAGAAATGCATATATACACATCGTACAACTGATTCTCAGGTTCGTGTGTTGTATTACGCAACAACGTCCGTTATA